ATCCGGCTGTGTCCTACTTTTATGAAGAGGGAAAAATCCGGATCCGAAACTACTCGTTGGAAAGTTCGTAACACGCCACCATGCATTATTTTTATCTACATATCTGAAATAGAGCTCTTAGAATCTTGAGGTCAGTCTGAGTCTCTACTAAATCAAAACCAGCTCCGAGATCCTCCTTCCCCAATTATATGGAGTTATTTTAAATTCGTTAGATTAATGTTGTCCGTGTTTCGTCAACTGTTTTTGCGGTGATGCGGTGTTTCTTATTTTTTTTCTGCGCTGTTGCGGTGTTGACAGTCCCCTAATCTCCCCCTCTTGTTGCGCTCCTTCTCTGATCATCAGATGGATTGTAAAAACGAAAAACTGACTGGAAATCGTGAAGAATAGGAAAGAAGGACATGCTCAAGTGTTTCGAGAAGGAAAAGTAAACTGGAATAGAATAGAAAAAAATGGGCTCAATAGAGAAGGCAACAGAAAGAATGGAGAAAGAGGAAATGGAAGGAAGAGTACGAGTTTTCTGATGTTTTTTAGAGATCGTCGAGCGCGAGCACGCATATGCCAATATATACCGCGGGGGTAGAAGAGCTAGAATAGAAAGGACTACAGACCAAAATTGATGTGTAAGAGCCCGTCCCAATCACTGATGCAATCATCCCACGAGCACTATTGCACCACTTCCTGTCTAGCATGTTTTAAATTCTTCATTAAGTCATTGCTAAAGATATAACTTCCGTCACAACAGTGTTCATATAGACCGCCTACATTTTCCTATCCAGTTTTACGAATTTACCAAAAGTCGCTACAATACGACTTTCATAACCAGAAAAGATATGAAATAGCCATAGAGGCAGTAGTAATATAAAATATCTTATCTTCATTCGACTATCTATTTTAAACACTTTCTACACAACAAACTACAGTACATGTATTTTTATATTTCATTTATGCCGCGCTAGTAATTTGCATATAAAAGTATGATGGACAGTAAGTAGTTGCAGCTGCGTTAGATATGACATGTTAAGTTTAAATAAAACTTAACCGAAATGATTATTGCTCAACGAAGCAGACCTGGTGACTGAGAGGTGTGTGATATATACAGATATTTCCCAGTAATCACATGTGCGCAACAATCTTGGGAACGTTCAACGTATCGCTTATCAGAGTAAATCGTTATCAAACAACTTAAGTCTTACAATCTGCTAATGTTTAGGGAGTCCCCAGAAAAGCTCAGAAAGGACGTCGGACAGTAGAAGTTCTCTGCAAAACGTTTACAACACGTTTTGATGCGTCAGCAAATATATATCAGAGACTTAAAGCTACAGTTTTTTACCGTTAAAGAAAAAGAGCTAAAGGTTAGTAGGAAGTAATCTGTACCAGTGTGTCTTTCCTGCCCCCCAAATGGAAGATGTGAAGGTTTTAGTACTCACCATTTGGCCCAAAACTATCATGAATAGCAGCCCCCATTTCGCCAACATGGCGGCTATAATCCTCTTGCCCAACGTGACCTGCAAGGTTTCTTAACTGTTCCACTCCGAGATAGGTGTGAGATTTTTCCTTTGTTACCACGAAAGGTTCAACTAGACAATTCGGCTACGGGATATGATAAAAACACTGTGATATAAAAAGATTTCGGTGGTACGAAGTTCCCGACTACGCAAGTGTGCGAGGCTTCGAACAGACTGACTGGGCAGTTACTTATTAAAGGATAGTGTCACTCTTAATGACCTATTACCGAAACTCAATACCCACACTGAGTTAACCGCAAGCGTAGGCCAACAGCATTACCTCATGAAACATTCCGTTTACTATCACGTTATTTGTATAGAGCCATTTAATTAATAGTGTGGTCGGTGAAAAACTTATATATTGAATCACAAGTGTCGGCAGAAAGGTTGTAAGGCTAGAGAGGCTAGACTAGCAGAGCCTTTTGACTAAAGAAAAAATATTTCGGGGATTCCCCCGATGCAAATACAGCATTGCGTAAGTTGGGGGTAGTGGGGATAAAATTACATAAGCAAATCGACCAGTTTCTTCCGAAAACGAGCTTTTAAGGGTGGAAATACATCAATAATTTCTGAAAGGGTTTCAACGTCTCTAGCAACAGCGCTTTTTTCAATTCATGACGTATACTGCGTATACGGGTGACTTTCAGGGCCAGTAAAACTCGTGATGCATTTTTTTCATTTTTACCAGTTAAAGACTGTCCATTCACGCTTCTCTAGTGTTTACAGAACCCAATAATATTTCTGTTATGCAAAAAATTGTTCTAAGGTCTAGTTCATACCAGATGAACAATCAACACTCAAGGGAAGTTTGGGTAGAGGTGTACCGCCGAGCCGTTCAAACCCTGACCCCGAGGGTTGGGTGGGGGTGTGTCGCTGGGACCCTGGAACCCTGGAACCCTGGAACCCTGGAACCCTTAACCTATACCAGAGCTAGTTCACCTGAATTTTGCTACCCTACACTAGACTAAACTCCCCAAATCCCCCCCATCCTAGAGGAGCTGTTTTCCAGAAACTACTGAGGTCACTAGCACAGTCCAGCCAAAACAAATCCAAGAGCCATAGCTCTTGACAAAACTGATTTGATTGTTTTAATATTTTTGAGAGGTAATTCCCGTTTTCCCTAGTCTAGAGTAAAAATGACTAAAATCTTCAAACAATTGATCCGTTTCCTGGAAAATGATACCGTTTTCTAGACCCAAGCTCTCTGATTTATATACCCTATCCCAGAGCTTGAAACTGCTTGAAAACCATACCCTTCCCAGCGGCACATACCTATATATGGCCCATATATGGCAGTACCTCCCTCCCCGGGCCCTGACCCCTAATAGTCGTTCATTTCACTTGAGACCTTATTTCATGACCCTGTTTCAATCCGTTCCACAAACACAGTAAAGTAATTTTCTAAACTGACACTGAATAAGATTTTTCTAGAAACATATTTTTTGGTATATGTCCAAAAAGAAACCCTCAGTCAAGACACTTGTTAAATTGTATACCCTATTTAAGACATCAAGACCCTGAAAACCAAACCCTGTTCAGCGGCACATCCTCGTTTTGGTAAAATAAGGGAGTGTCCCTTCTCCCCCCCCCCC